AAATCAGAAAATCAAAACACTACTTACAGTCTCTAGACGTCGAGGTGCTGTTGCATAGTTTCCTTCCTCAATGGTCACATCATAGTTGGCAACGAAACGAGGATAGAAATCATTGACATCAAGAACATAGGTTGTGACTGTGGCAGTTGCTGTGTCAGCTGGAGTTGCAGGGTCTGTGATGGTCACCTTCGACAACAATGTTAGAGAAGTCTTAACTGGTCAAATTTAACAGCCTACAACCTTTAAATCAGGGGAAATTGTTTCTGGTCAAATGTCATGTTAGAATATATTCCATCTTTCCAGACAACAGTGATATATTGTGCTAGAGGGAGACATGGGAATCACAGATCACAGCTCATTGCAATGGCGAGGGTGACTAGAAACAAAGACTAGACTAGAAAGACTCACCAGTGTTGAGGAAAGTCTACCACAAGTAGAACATGGAATTTCGTGACTGTTGATACCATTACATGTGTTTAGTGAGCTTCTCAAATGCTTAGCTCTCAACATATTTGCAATAATTTGTCCTTTATTTCCATTCCCTTCCTAACCCCCCCCCCCCCCCCTTTTTTTTTTTCTCTTTTCCAAGCAACGCAGTACTTAGCATTTTGTTTCAATGCATCTATGTAAATACCTGAATCGTTCATGTCCCATCTGCACAAATCGTTATACCATAGTAAAGGCAAACCTTGACTTCTACCCATCTGTAATTCACCATAGAGAATGTCTTTAGGAGCTCTAACATCCTCCATCCTCAAAGTGTGACCAGGCCACCTGAGTCTTTGGATTGAGCATTGAGAAAACCTTTCTGATATCTGCTTTCCAATACCTCTGTGCTTGTGATCTTGCCTTGTGAAAGGTTATTATATGAAAAATAAGTTGCTAGGTTTCACTGCCGTAGAGAGATCAGAACATGAGCCTAATAGACAAGAGTTTGTTTTAATCACAAGCTTTCTGTTATTTTAAATTATTTTTTTAATCAGCTTATTGTTGTTGATGCCTGACCTGTTGATTTCTGTGTTCAGTTATAGTTTGCTATTCACTGTGGATCCCAGATATGTAAAATGATCAACTGTCTCCAGCTCTTCACCATCGATGTAGACTGCAGGTCTACCATTAGGACCTTACACCATAATTTATGTCTTCTTTTTATGGACTGTTAGTCCAAACTCACAACATGAATGGGAAAATGCAGACAGTAAACATTGCAGTTCCTTCTCTGAGTGGATGGTTATTGTAGCATCAATCATCTGTAAAATGGTGTTTCTTCGATAAATACCTTCCTTATCGTAGTTTGGGCCTTCAGCCTATGAGCACTGTAGAGGCTGCCATGAGATAGATACCAACCTTCTCATTTTGAACCGCATATTTCAAAAGGAGGGAGATGTATGTTCCAATGAAGGTAGAAGTAAATACACACCTCTGCCTAATTCCGTTCTCAAATACAAACTCATCCAATGTTACACCATCAAAATTGATTGTGCCTTTCATACCCAGGAGAACAACTTAATAATGCTCATTAGGGCAGATGGACATGCAATCTTTTTTGACCATATTAAACAGGCCATTATGACATACTATATCAAATGCCTTGGTAATGTAAGAATATGAGGTCTTAAAGCCAACAGACATTAAGTACCACTAAAAAGAAGTTTTCCTAATAAGTGCTATAGTGAATAAAAATAACTGATACAGAAAAAGAAGAACTTGTTTATCTGATAAACTAATTCTGCCACAAGTGGCAGTTTAAAAAATATATAATGTACTGTGACATTTTAAACTTTTTTTTAATGAAAACATTTAAATATATTTACATTATATCAACACATAAAAATATAATGAGATATACAGGGGAATATTAAAAGTATGGTAGTAGATGGTTTTAATACAAATCATCTTATTTATTCTGATGACACCATCTTGACAAGACAGAGGGAACTAGACAAAATGATAGATAAAGTGAATAGACCAAATGGAACATACTGGAACAACTGGAAAGATTATGAAAAGAGAAACAGAGGAAGACAACAAGAGAACATTTGTGGCAGTCTTTTGTACTTGGCATGGAAGGGTATTAGTATTATTATTAGGGTATTTCAGTCACAAACAACTCATCATGACTTTGTTGATTTCTGCTGATGTGACGTATCTTTCCTGCCTCCATGTGCTGCCTCCAGTTGTTACGTTAACCAACTCAGCACCAGTTGCAATTTAACTCTTCTGTCTCATGGTTTTATTATTTTAATTCCTTCAGAGCCAAACATCTTTTTCTTAAAGTATGAACTTCCTATGAGTCAAAGTAATATTTTTCAGAGACTCAAAGAATAAATGCTGCCAGAGATCACATGATGTGGAGAAGCATAATTGTCATGCCATTCAGCAAAACACTTGATAGTGATTTGCACGCATGAGTAAGATAAACAAAGAATGACCTTCGAGAAAAAAATTAGGGGAAGGGAACAGGAAACTAAGATGGAAAGGGAGATAAAGGAGAAAAAGAATAGATCAGGCAAAGGGGCGGGAAAGAAGAGAGGGAGGTAAGGGGATATGGAAAGGCAAGGGGATATGGGAAAGCAAGGGGATATGGAAAGGCAAGAAGATAGGGGAAGCAAAAAGAGATGGAATTAAGGATGGAAAACGAGAAACAGACAGAAGAACCAGCCAAATTGACAAGCAGTTACAAAGAGCTGGAAAAACACATGTTGCATGTATACAGCACCCACTGTGACACAGAGGTCAATGAATGAAGCAAACAAAGCAGCATCTAATTCATCATAACTTACAGTTAGAATGTACTGAGTTGTCTGTTCATAGTCGAGCACGTTCATCAGTAGTTGCACATTTCCTGCAGGTGTGACTGTGAAAATATTTCCTCCAGTTCCTGAAACTCTGATGATATACTGGGGCACTGGATCTGATGGTGACTGGTGAGACAGCAGTTGAAACAGTTACACTAAAACTTTAATAAGATGTACTAGAAGGAATTATTTGTTCTCAATGATAATGCTCCTATGAGCCCTTTCTGGCTAGGAGCTTTGTTTGTTATAGAGTGTGTCAATGATTATGTGGCCAGTACTATTAAACCCACACACAAAAACCACCAGGGATCACTCTGAATGGGTCATCATAGAAATCCTTTATTTTGAGAATTTAAAGACAAATTTAAGCATTGCTTTATAAAAAATAAAATGTATGTAGCTTAAGTCCTTGCAATCCTAGTAAAACACTGTTGTGTATACACTATTTGCTGTTTTTATGTCAATGTTTTGTTTAAAATGTAATTATACACTAATTATGAAACAAATCATCAAAATCTTGTGGGGGGGAAAGAAAAGTGATCATTTTGATTCAATCAAAGACACAGTATTTATGTGAGAAATGAAACTTACTAAGTCTGGATCAGAGAAGGTTAATTTGAGAGCTGTTGACATGACCGTATCCTGGGAAACCAGTGATCCATTTGCAGAGTTTTCATAAATGTACCCAGTTGTTTGGCTTGGAGTAATAACCAGAGGTCTAGTGTTAGTCTGAACCAGATACACAGTGATGGTAGCTGTTTCCAGCCTACGGTTGGGTGTGCCTTCAATGGCCTGAAAAATACATGTACATTAATTGCATTTACAATGAATCACAGGACAACTTTCACAGCATAGCATGCTACAGTTAAGAGACATTTAACTTTAGTCTTAAAGTAATTTGAACTAAAAGTTGCTTGTTTTGTTTGATTTTACAGATTGTGTATATTCATGTTTTTTGAAACCACAGTCAGCATGATGAAGTGAGCACAGTTTTTCTATGGTAGCTATCAGGGAGATACCCTTTTACTATAAAAACTGCTGTAAACTCTGAATAAAACAGGAATGAAGCTGTAGTATACTAATCACTTAGAACGCTAACCCAGTCAACAAATTATCAATGAAGTCTGATGTGTCTGCTGAAAGATGCAAAAATTGTAGTTATGCTAAAACATACACAGCGCAATCATGACACTTGGATGAACAATAAAGAAGAAGTAGCATACTAATTACAGAAACAGTGCTTTCAGATGAGATGTCACACACACATATCTCTTTTTTCCTTACTCCCGTCATCTCAGCAAAACGTTTGGGGGAGATGTCAGGATCATGTGTGTGCCCTTTCTAATGTGTTGTGTTAGCTGGTCTTATTTTATTCAAGGCTGTTCTTGATGATGTCCTCACCATCTTTTGCTTGGTCCGTCCTTTTTTGTGTGTTTGTGTTATATTTGTTCAGAGTGGCTGTCAGGGGCAGCTGGTACCAGGGTATATTTGTCAGATGGCCAAACCATCTCATCACCTGTTGCTTTTTAGTTAACTGTATGACTGGTCTGAGTCCTAGTTTTCAAATGTCCTCATTTGAAATGTTATCTCTTTTTGTTACTCTGACAGATCTTCTAAGATACCTCATTTCTTTCACAATTGTCCTTCATTAGCTGTATAAGTGTCAATTTCTGGCACTAGTAGCATAAAGTTCACCAAGAAATAGTTCTAATTAGATCTACTTTGTAGACACTTTGGAGTATCTTTCTGTGTGTCAGAAGTGGTATTAGTTGATACAGTACCAGATTTGCTTCATACATATTAGCTCACACCTAAATAATAGTCATGTACCTATGCTTTCGGGAGTCGCTGTGGCATAGCAGCTACATGCTCGCATGCAGATCAGAAGGTTGTGGGTTCACTCCCTGGTGGAGTTGGACTTTTTTCAAAAATGACCTTGACTCCCAGGTGGACCCAGCCTTGAGTGGGTACTAGGTGCAGTCCAGGGAAGTAAAGGCAGCAGGTGTAATGCTGACTACATCATCCATCTTGTGCTGATTGGTCTATAAAAATATAGGTCTAGCTCTATTTGCCTTATATGCCTTATAGGCGTTGAAAAGGGACCTTTACTTTTAACTCATGTTGTCACAATTGTAGAAACAATGATTCATGTAATAAATTACATGCACACTCTCTCATACCTGAAGGATAATATCCAGAGACTGAAAAGTGTTGCGATTCAGAGGCACATTATTGACAGGGCTGTAGGTAACAACACATCTGTACTGCTTTGTCTGGCCAATCTGTACAGTAGAAACACTGAAGTACTGCTCAAATCCAGATGGCAAAGCTGGTTAGAGACAGAAATTGTACTGTTATTGAAAAGAGCTATACAAAAATTAATTTCTGCTTATTTTTAGCAACTCTTGACATACTTTTTTGATATACGTTTCACTTTATTTTAATTTGTTTCCTTTCAAGCGCTTATTGACCCAGTTGAGCACCTACTGTAAAACCCTTTGCTAATGAATGAGTAAACATTTCTTGTGAAGCCCTTTTTCTGTGCCCTCAAGATACTTTCTTGCTTTCTTACTGACTAAAGTTCCCATGTTCAAATTAGACAAAATAATGACAATTATTTTTAATTTCTTACGACAACTTATTTCATAAAATGTTCATAAGTTTATAAAATTCAGTTTTGGTTAGTGTCAGGGATCAGTGCGGCCATGAGATGACAGTGTATGATGATGGTGAATATTGGACTAGTACTTGGTTGATCACATAGTGACTGCCTTGTTCTATAGCTCACCAAGACTTTGACTGGACTATCAAGAGGGGTAAACTAATCACTCCCAAGTCCACTAGGGTATCAAGGACCGGGCAAACAAAATGGCTTGGACAAAAGGGGCTGACAAATGGGTATTTGGGGAGTTCGTCAGTGAGACTTGGACAAGACATATGGCGTTTCTGACCGGTAGTTGTTTCTGTATGTGACTTAAGTTAGCAGCAGGTATTTTGCGATAAGGTGTATGCTCTGACAGTGTTTAGTCCTGTGTAACGATAGACGTTTCTGTCATGGAGCTGCCAATGAACCAGCTGCCTTGTCGACAGTAAGCAGATCTCTGACAGAAAATGGTTCTTTATTACTGTGATACATTTTCACCAAATGTTATCCCTAAACAATATCTAAATTGTGTTACTTGCCTCACATATCATTAACAATGGTGGCTTAAAGTATAAATGTGGCAGAACGCTATTATTTGATATTAGCATTTTGTTTTGGCTTCTGACTATTTAAGCTGACAATCTTTTATTGTCTTTCTATGAACAGCATCATTTTAAAAAACGATTTTCAAACACTTTTAATCAGCAAAAACAGGCATCAGTCTGCCAGCTTAACCACCTAAAGCACGTGACTTCTAGGAAAACTTGCATTGATCACAGAATACCCATGTGGCCAAAACTTACATTAACATTTATGTTTTTGTTCCGGATATCTCTGATAAGCTTCTTTAATTTTTTTGTATCTGTTTAAAAACCACAGTGCCAGCTCTGATCTACTATTGCATGAAATGTGCACATATTAGTAGAAACTCTGATAAATCACTTACTTTGTGCAATCCGACAGGTGATGTTTGAATCAAGAGTGTCCCGATCTTGGGCAATGATCTCAACGTTTCCATTGGGGTTGTTTGTGTCCGCAGGATATGGAGTAAAATACCAGAGTCTGTGGAAATAGTGAATGTACTCTTGTAAATGAATGTGCATGTTTTAAATACTACTGCAGTTTATTCAATAAGAGTTGGATATAAATTAGGAAATCAAAGATCAGTGCATTCTGGCAGCTATAAACTTGTTCAAGTTTGCTTCTGATGCATACTCAAGATGAGACTGCTTCAGGTCAATTTAAAAAAGCACACAGAAACCAATTTAAAAAAAAAAATTTACATAAATAGAGAAACAGCTGAGAATGGTAAAACATGTCCTCAAGGCAAAACAAACAAGAATTAACAAATCATACCTGTAGAGAATTAAGGTGCAAAGATTAAAAAGACGAGGTTTGCTATGTAAATAAATAAGATAATGTGGCAATTATTAAACATTCACTAAAGTTTATTCTTGAGACCTTGGAGATGTGGTTTTATAGAAGAGTCTTTAGAATTTCTTGGACAGTTTTAAAAAAAAAAAGCAACTCAAATATTGAGAAAGAGGCGAATGCACAAAGACAACTGCTCACAAACATTAGAAGACCAAATTGTTTTTGGATCATGTAATGAGAAGAGGGAAACTGGAACACGCTGTGACCACTGGAAAGATTTTTGGAAGCAGACATAGAGGAAGACAGCATCAAAGGATTCTTGACAGCCTTTTGTTATGGCAAGGAGGGGTGTCAACACATGAACTGATACACGCAGTTGCAGATCGAAGATTATGCAGAGGCATAATCATCCACGCCATTCAGCAAGGCACTGGATGATGATGATGATGGTGAATGTTTATACACATTAAACATTTTTATATTGCAAAGATTATTACAAGACATTAACATACCTGGCTGTTTCCTGGCTGCAGATTTGACACGTATCTGGCTCGAATACAAGTAGGTCCATAAGGCTCAGTGCTGGAAATGCAAGATCCATACACAAATGTTGGTCCCAGATCATCACCATCCAAAATACCAATTTTGAAATATGCGATTGCCTGAAGGGAAGGCGTACCTTGATCCTAAAACAGCAGAATAGTTAGCATAGTTTACCTGCTGTAACTGACACAAGTAACAAAAGCTTCTTAAACTTTCAAATGTGATAATTCATTAAATAGACCTTTTTTTTTTTTTTAACAAAGCAGGCTCTACGGATGAAAAGATCTGAAGTGAAAGTAAGAGGCCACCCTAGAGAAGATGGACTGAAGAAAAACAGAGCTTCTACATCGAAACAGAATGATATTTAGCCAATGTTGCCCATCAAGCAATGAACTGCAAACTTCTCCCCACAATTCTAAACGGCAGAAGGGAAAATGATGATGATGATGATGACAGAAAACAGAATGCCCTTGATTTATTAGATTTAAACAGTTATCATTAATCAATCAATCAGGTGTCTAACACAAATTCACAGTTTTTGGTTGTACACTCTGTCAGACTGCTTTTCATTCATGTTTTTTTTGTAGTTCTTCCACTTGTAACATTGTCTACCTCTTGCCTTCAACTTCTCCATCCAGTACAGTCTTTAAAAGCATGTTATTTCTTTTAATTTTAAGTATTTCAACTGTCTCCTTTTTATTCCTTTCAATAACTGTCTTTTCCTTTGTAGTCTTTCTAGAACATCTATACTGAAACATCTGTACTGCACTTTGTTTCCAGGAAATATGACCAATTCTTCTGTATGTTCACATTTGGAGAGATTCGGTTAGATTCTCTAGTTGCGTGTTCCTAGCTAAAGCTTTTGCACCACATAGCAAAGTTGAGTATATATAATACTTGATGATTCCTAATTCTAATGTGTTGTTTATCTCTTCAGCTGTTAATTATTTGTGCATCTGACAGAAAATGGTTTTAGCAATTTATATTCTCTTTTTGTTTTCTGTGTTATGTCCACTATCATCTGGTACTACACATTATAACAATATAACAGTATATGAATCACTCTTTATATATGAATATATCATAAATTTTTACAAATACAAAAGAAAAAGTGAAAAGAAGAAACTACTCAAGTAAACAAGAAATATTTTTACGACTATAAATATTTTATCAGAAATTATCATTACGACAATAGGCTTTCATCCTAGAAGGACAGGTAGAAGAAGAAGACAAAAATGTGAAAAGAAGAAACTACTCAAGTAAACAAAAAATATTTTTACGGCTTTTAATATTTTATCAGAAATTATCATTACGACAATAGGCTTTCATCCTAGAAGGACAGGTAGAAGAAGAAGACAAAAATGTGAAAAGAAGAAACTACTCAAGTAAACAAGAAATATTTTTACGGCTTTTAATATTTTATCAGAAATTATCATTACGACAATAGGCTTTCATCCTAGAAGGACAGGTAGAAGAAGACAACAAGAAAAAGTCTCAAATGCTTTTTGTGATGGCATGGAAGGACATCACTATACAAAATGATAAATGGTTGTGGAGACTGCAAGTTCTGCAGAAGCATAAACACCTAAATCTGTTGGCAAGCCAGTTAACTCTTTGAGTCCCAAAGAACGCATCACACGTTCATAGGTTCCTACCTAGAAGCCCAATGAACGCTTAATGCGCTGATTTTATTACTTTCTTTACTACCCCCTGGGCCTGTGATGCTAAACCCCCTGGGACTCAAAGAGTTAAGGATGATGGTGACATCTATCGGAAATTGTATCATTTTATTCACTTTTAACACTTCCTCTGATGTTGGTGTGTTATTATCTGTATCAACTTTCATGAAGATTTATTTTTTTATTAACATATCCTACCTTTGATTCCTTACCATGATTTTAGATGTGAAAGCCAGGCTCACTAATTAATTTCTTTCCCTGAACTAATTCATTCACCAAAATAGGAGGTCTCCATGGTGAAGAGGTCAAGCCATTTGCCTAATGCTATGAAGGCTGTGGGTTCATTTCACAGCCGTGTAGTTCGGTTCATGAGTGCAATTTTTACTTGGATCCCCAGGGATCATTGCTGGAGCTAGGTAGTTCGGGCTGTGTGCGGTGCTTTCCGCAGGCAGCTAGCCATTCTGTGGTGAGAGACTGAGCTTTATGGGATAACATCTTATGCAATGAAGTTGATTCTCTCAACTTTATTCTTTTTATTCATTAAAATGACTCAATACTTTCTAGTCAAGAGTAGAAGACTTTTTCTTTTGGCACAATTACCTGCAGAATGTCTTCACTTATTGAACCTAATGACAGTTTTTTACTAATCTTATTTTCTATGGTCTTTTGTTGATTAGATATTTGCAGTGACAGTCACATATGCTTCAGCTACTTTGTATGTAGTAGGTCTGGAGTCATGAGCCTGACTGTTGAAATCAGTCATCTGATATTTTGATAAAGCTGTTTTAGCCTTTTACATACAACTTCCTTTATTTTCATCCATCTTTCTTGTCTAGTAATCTCCTACATACATCAATTTCTCTGTTATGCCCTTTCTTTTGATATGCCATATAAATGAAAGAGCCTTTTTTATCAGTTCGACAAATGCTCAAACAGCTACCAATTTCTCATCACTTGTTCTTTTAAGTGCATGCAATTCTTAGTATTCTTCTCAAACATCACATCTTCACTGTTCTCAGTTTGTTCTCTAGCCCACTAATTATTGTCCAATATCTATGCAAAAGAAAAGAGTGCACCAAACAAGTCAATAAGGTTTTTTTTAAATGCTTGTTTTATTTGAAGTTATTACAGACAATATTTATTATATTTTCAATCACCGAAATGTATTTAAACATAACTTCAAGAAAGGTAACAACAAAAACGGGACAAATAATTTCAGTCATGTTAAAAATGAGTAAATGTGACCACATACCATTGCTATGACTGTCAAATTGTAGTAACACAAGTCTGCCCGATTCCCAGTTGCTCGATACATACTCTCAAAGTCCAGCACTTGAGCAACCTCAACAAAACCATTCGGTAGACTGATTGAAAAGTTACCAACACCTGCAAACTGTATATATGGGGACAGAAATATGTTCATAAATGGGTATGTGTATGGATGTGTTGGTGTATGTGATATATATATATATATATATATATATATATATATATATATATATATATATATATATATATATATATATATATATATATATATATATATATATATATATATATATATGTGTGTGTGTGTGTGTGTGTGTGTCTGTGCATGCATAAATGCATGCATGCATGTACGCATGCATGCACACGCACACACACGCATGCACACACACTGACATACACATACACACAGAGTCAATCAATACTAAACATTCAATAAAAAATCAACTTGTTTTCACAATAAGCTGACACAACTTTCTTGAGGCAATTCTGCTAAAACAACAAATCCAAATTAGAAAAAAATGTAATACCAAGCCTTATATATAAAGGCAGGCACTCCAGGAACTTCAGTTGAATCACTTGAAGCAGCAATGTAAACAACTCTTTTAAACATCAGAAGAAAGGAGTTGGGATTAAATTATTTGACAATATGCATCCAGCATAAAAAACTGTTAACCAATCACAAAGCTCAGCATCATACTCAACTAAAAGTAAAGATAAGTGTAATAGCCTCTAGGAATTTAAAAAATTTACAATAAGTTATTGACCAGACTTAAAATGTACATCGCTATTGTTCCATCACACCAAACTTAAAGACCAGAAACACACTTTCGCTGACAGTTATTCTAAATAAGAAGACAATACCTGAAATCTTGAAAGATGAAGCCAACAGACACATAAAATAAAGTTCTAAATCATTGGCACCTTTCCGTCTTTCCAGACTATAGTGTTATATTGTGCTATGAGGAGGTATGAGACTCACAGCCCATGGCGATGGCGAGTGTGACTAGCAAGACCCGATCATGTCAAGAAAAGTCTTCCACAATGATAGCACGGGATTTCAGGACCATTGTTAACAACATTTGTGTTTAATCCGTTTCTTGTCAGACGCTCAGCTTTCATCCTTTCTGCAATCATTTCTTCCTTCAGTCTCATTCACTTCTTGATGTGCCCTTTCCACACAACACAATCTATGGAATTTTGTTCCCATGAGTCCGCCTCCATACCTGTATCATTCATGTCCTGCTGGAGACCGATTAAGGCCAGGGATGAAGTTCCTCCTCTCCACAACACAAAGCCTGGGCAATATTGTATATGTTTCCCATGCATAATGATCCCTCTCTCGACCTGCCTTGTTTACTCCAAAGGAAAGGTAAAACCAGTATGTTTGGAACGAGGCAGGTTGCAGATGCTGCCCGATCAGAAGAGCAGTGCTCTCTCTGTCTACCTGTCGGAGCTTCCCTCCTAGACCAGCTGCCAGCCAAGGTGAAGGGCCTGATCTGTGCTTTGCCATAATACAAAGTTTTCAGGTGGCATTTCCTCTTCCTAGGATAAGGCTAGTATCCTCTCTAATGCGCTCCTCCGCCCAAAACCACAGGCACAATATTGGATGTTGGGTTAGTATACGCCGCCCAACATTCGGCATAGCAGAAGACAGGTGGTTCAAGTTCTAAATATAGTCTCACTATATAAATGGTTCAAATGGGGAAGATGATAGGTTAGGAATAAGAATATACATCCTATCAGATGAATTTCAGCTTAATAAACAACATTTTGTTCTTGGCTGCAGAAATGGTTGCTGTTCTGAGGGGGCTAGAAATTATGTATGACAAATCTCCACAAAGGTAAACAATCTTAACCGATTACCTATGGTTAATCCTCTCAAAAATACCAAGATGTCTAGTAATTACATAACCAAAGAGATCTTGACTAAATGCAAGATTTGTCCAGTAGTAACAGCAAATGGAAGATGAATTAACTCTTCCAGCACCATAAGAATTTTTTTTAAATACTTAAGAGAATAACAGACACAATGAAAACAGCATTAGTGTATTTACTTTCAAAGAGACAACATTTACTATGCAATGTTAGCATTTCTAGCGGGATTTCTTTAAAATGCCCAAACAAACATAAAATATAGAATTGCACACCGTTCATTGTTTGATACACACTGATTTTAGCTGATCAGACACTGTGCCTTGGTTGGGACAGAAAGAGTTTAAATAGTTTAATGCAGAATAGCTCCAGCAAAGGCAGGATTTTAGAAAATAAATATTTCATATGTTTATGTTTTTAATTTTTGTTAACTAAAGTGAGGATAAGGGCTAAGAGGTCTATAGAGCCAATGTTGATATTTGGAAGTGACTCATTGGCATCAGGCAATTCGTGAAAACATTATCAAATCAGCAGAGATATGGTTTTATACACATATAATGAGAACAAAGTGAGCAGCTCAAATGAATAATAAGGATGTCTTGAGAGAAATACCTCATGAAGAGAATGTTTAACCACATCAGAAGGAGGTAATCTATATACTTCGGTCACGACATAAGAAGGAGAAAACTGGAGTACATGATGATGATGGTGGAAGTCAGAAGGGAAAAGAACAGATAGGAGATCAAGAGAGAAGATGCTTGACATGAAAGATCATCTGTGTCAGATATGACTGAAATACATGAGATAGAAGGATCAGGATAACAAAATAAAGTAACATTTAGTTAAAATACTATTCCCCATTCTATGTTATGTTGTACAATAAGGGAATAGATGAATAAGCTACATCAAATAGACAATTACACTAAACCAGTCACAGAGGAATGACAACAGTTTACAGAGAGTGTAGAACAAATACAGTTTGTTGAAAGCTTATGGAAAGGCTATTCCATGATGCGTGGAAATAGTCCACAAGTAAGGTCAAACTAGTAAGCTTCTGGATGCTGTTCCAGTTCGAGCATTAGTGACTTTTTTTCCTTTTTTTTTTTTTTTTTTTTTAACGATGATTAAAATGTGCCATCATACTGTATGTCCATCATTCTATATGTACTCCATCAGTGTATTTACTCTACTGCATTAATGTTAGCTACATCAAGTAGAAGAATGCCTTCCCCCACACAATTAATTACCATAGCTCCTGGTGTGTCAGCGAGGTAGTAGAAAATCTGCCTATTTTCAGCTTCATCCTTATCAACAGCTGAAATGGAACTGTAGAAGATCTGTCCCATAGGAGTCAGCTGAAATTGTATAGAGTAATATTTAATTTCACATATACAGGCATAAATTCCATCCAACATTTTAGTAGCACTATTAAATTGCTAATAATGCACATTAGGCGTAGATAGTTTTCTCTCCCTTTCTAAGGTCTCAATGTGGTATTTGGATTATACCCAATATCTGCCATTTTACCATTTTCATAACTCAAGTCAATTTATTTATTTAAATTGAGTTCTGAGTATTCATCTTCTGATTTTTTCACAGCATGTAAGTAAAGAAGTTTAGTAACAGGTAGAGATCAAATGAAAACGGGAGGGGATATAGATGTTATGACCATTAAGCTAATACCACTAGGTCTCATGAAATCCCTTTGTTTAACTTTACTGTACCCCCAGTTTTTCAGCTGAAATGAGGTTTGTTGACTGACCAATCCTCAGATTTTGTGCCAGCATGTAACAGAGCCATAGGGTATCCTCTGTTATTTATATCCCACTGTAAGACTTTGTCTATGAAACTGATATTGTTAACAATGACTGTCATGTTTACTAAGACAAATAGGATTGTGACATGGTTGACAGGAGGATTTCACCAGCATTTCTCTGTTCCTGTATATCTCAATAGTATAACTAAACTAAAGTAGTATTGTGATATGCCACTGATTCAATGGGTGCTGAGGAAGTGTTCAATGTTGAAGCACATCCACCGAATAATCTCTGTCTTTGTTAATAAAGAGTCATGTAAAATTCTGTACAGAAGGGTTGTCTGTGTCTGTCCAGAACCCATTATTAGTTGGCATAATTTTTATAAACTGTTAGTCAGTAATGATTACATGAATGTAATAAAATAAACAGCAGTGCAAAAATATTTGTCAGACCACTTTAATCTTTAATATAAATGTATTGTTGTTTAAATGTACAGAAAAACTAGCTTTTTTCCATCTATCACAGTTTAAGTTAAGGAGAATAATAAAAGTTATAAAAATACAGTGATACCTTGACTTATGAACTGCTCTGCATAAGAGCTTTTGAGATACAAACTTTTTCTATATCCCATTTTGACCTCTACATTTGAGCCTAGATTCAAGACACTAATCGTGATGCACTACGGTAGAGGATCACAACATTGAGCTGACCAATGAATAGCTATCAGAGCTGAGAACTGAATAGGAAAAAGTACAGGATGATGATGATGAGCAAATGTCTTCAGAGAATAAAGACAGCAACAACAAAAAGGGAGCAGTCATAACAAGTGATAAAAACAAAATCTCACAACACTGGGAAATATCAAAAGAATTAGTAAACAAGTGGCAGCCAAACCAAGCTATTGTTTCTAGAGTCATTAGTGTCTTCAATGACAATGTCTTTATTCATTTTAGAAGGGTCTTGAGGCAGACAACATTAGACAGGGTTTTAAAACCTTCCTGTCCAAAGAAATAGAAGACATTTAAAAAAAATATTATAATGGAAGTTCATCTCGTGCTACATACCTACGTATCATATGAAACCAAATGCCAATTTATTGCCTAAAAATGCTCATTCTTGACCCGTCTTTGCATTTTAATAATTTAGGTGAGAAAAGCAGTAGTCTGATGTCAGGTAACAGAGAGGTGAAAACTATACACAAAGGAGCTGAATGGTTGTAGACCACAAGGGTGCCCAAGAAGATAATGGAGAGATAATGTCCAGACAGATCTGCAAACACTTGGTGTCACTAACTGGAAAGAGAAGGCCAACCAGAGAGATGAGTGAAGGTGGGTGATATCTGCAGCAATGAACCTCAAGGGCTAAGAATGCTGAAGCAGAAGTAGTAGCAGTAAAAGTAGTTATTTTTCACGAACATCTTGATTAACCCTTAAAGTTATAATTGTGATATATAGTGTTTATTGATGTACCAAATGTGTATTTGTTATTTTATATT